TCGCACCATTCTTTTTCTAGAAAAGAGGCATGGTTGTACTAATCTTTGTCGTCATGGTAGCACCTTCATCAAATACCTTTTTTGTGGTCAACACGCTTGATGGTCTATTATTCTGCCAAAATGAACGCTGATGTAAACAAGTTGCATTTTATGTGTAAACATGTTGCATGTTTTGTAAGTAACCTTGTTGCATTTTCATTACATGTATAGCTGCATCGTCTATGCGTGGTGGTGTGATGAAGTTGTTGTCGACACTTGGGCCATTTGGAACCTGTGTAGTGTTGATGGTTCCTGGGATAGCATGTGCAATGCAAAAGACAAGGAACATTAGCTAAAATAGAGGAGCCAAAAAATGAGAACTGTGTTCCAAAGTTGGTACCTGCTGCAGTGCCAATTGTATTTGTAGTTGTAGTGTTGACCGAAATTCTTCCCTAATTTCTTCAATTTGTTTCATACTTTCTTCCTTATCTATTTCCCTTGCTAAAACTTCATTTGCAAGCTTTTGTTTTAATTCTTCAACCTCTTGTTGGTGCTACATTCTTTCTTGTCAGGCTAAAACTTCACTGTGGGCTGCATCTTCTTCTTTGTGTTTCAGTAGAGCACTTCGTGTTGAATATTTTGCCATGTATCCACGCTTCTTGTAGTATAAGAAGTTCCTGGCTCCATAACCAAACTGTTCTTTAAAATATACCAGGTTATGAAATGGGATATGAGCTCTGTCTACATCAGTGTCGACGAATTCATCGTCCTCAGGTTTCCCCTTGCATTGGAAATAAATTGTCCACATCTCACCTCTCAATGGTTCACTGTATGCATATAGAGCAGAAAAACATCATTGTGTGGTGTAAGATATTACTTAGACTTGAATTCAACAAAATTAGCAAAATGTGATTGCAATTGATTAATAATTTCTCTATTAGCATGGACTCATCTCTACAACTAAAACATTCGTATTGTCAACATCTACCCGGCAGGACCAAAACACTCATGTGATCCATATCCGGCAGGTAAATAATCACCGCATCTCATGCGATCCATATCCGGCAGGCAAATAATCACCGCATGGAGACACTGGAAGGCAAGTAAATAAAATGGAAGGCAAGTAAATGCTATAATCACGGAATCAATTTATGTTGCACCCGTTGCAACGCATGGGCACTCATCTATCAAACTTAAAAAACCAAACATAAATTACTGGAACAGTATAAAATATATGCATGAACAGGTTCGGCAATCAGGCAATATAAACAGTGAGGGCATAAATTATTGACAATCACTATTGGCAATCAGGCAATCAAGCAGGTTCAGCAGTTTCAGTATAAATTGTTGGCAATATTAATTATATGCATCAGGTAGCGAATATAAATAGTGCGGGCATAACAGTATGTCAGCAGGTTAAGCAATATGCATCAGGATTGCTTATTGATGCATAGAAAATAGCACTGAAATTTAAATATGCCTGATTGTCAGCAGATTCAGCAATTTGCTTTTTGTTCATACACAATGCAGGTTTAGCAATTAGCAGAGGCAAAATATTGTGCCAGCGGTGATGATCGAATGAACTAAAATAATATCAGATACTAATCCAAATATAAATATTATAGATCTCTTTATGCTAAGCAGGAAAGTTATTCGTCAAGGCATCCTTTATACAACAGCTTTGATAGATAAATGCAGATTGAATGATCTCTTCCTCGACGCACGCACGCGCCTGCAACACTACAACACGCATGCATGCGCCCAAACAGCTTTGATTGATCGGCCAACACCCCATCACGTACGCCAACTAACAACAACAGTAGCACGTACCTGCTATAGAGAAAACGTAGTGTCCCTGAGCCATCAACGTCGTGGCTGTCATCTTCTTCCTGGACGTGATCTTCATTAGGAGAACGGCGCCTCTCTTCTGAAGATTGAGGTGCGGAAGATGGAGGTGCGGACGAAGGAGGTGGCATCATGGCGTGCTTGCGTATGGCGTCGGAGGAGGCAGCCGCCGTGGGTGTGTCCATCAAGCCGCCGTCGTGGTCTCCGTGGTTGCCCCCGTCGCTTTACCTAGCGTGAAAAAATGACCGCCCCACGGTTTCAGGAAAGGGGCACGCGAAAGGCGTGGTGGGAGGAGTTATGTGCCGTGATTATTGGATCTAATCCTACCGGTGGGTATTTTGGTGGGCTATTCCGAAAATTAAAGGCGTGATTATTGGATCTAATCCTACCGGTGGCTGTTTTGGCGGGCTGCTTGCAAAAATTAAAGGAGGGAAACCGTGCGTGGTGGAAAAAAATGGTATAATCATCAGAGCCTAATAAAAATAAAATATACTAAATAGGCAAATAAAATAATTATCTACTTTTCTAATGCAAGGTAAAAGTACGTATTATTTTGTTTACAAAAATAGCACAAAATATAGCTAATCATATCGATTTTAAATGAGTACTCATCAGAAGTAAAGAAAATGATAAACTATACTCCCTCGATCCTATTTTTTTTTTTTTAAATTTGACTAATTATAGATAAAATAATATCAATATTTATATCTCTAACTAAGTTTATTATGAAAATATATTCTAGAACTAATATAATGATACTTATTAGGTATTAGCAATTTTTTTATATCAAATCCTTCTAGCATGTCTAACCGTGTGTTTGGATTGAGGGTTCACTTGGGTTGGATGGATTGGACCCAGATTTGATAGTGTTTGGTTTGGGGTTCAAGTGGGTTGGGTTTGTTCCCATGGGGAATATCGGGTTCGACCGACTCCACCAAATTAGGCGAACCACGTAGACCCGGATGAAGCCTGCCGTACGGAGGGAGCAACTGGCCTGAGCAGTGGCGCATGTGCGGCGGATGTGTAGCCGAGGCCATGGTAACCGAGCAGCGGCACGACGCTAGGTGATCTAACCGAGCAGCCCGGTCTACGACTCCTGGTTCTCTCCCCTGGCCATGGCTGACGATCGAGTGGGTGTTCCTCCCCTTTCAATATCCTTTCTCCTCGGTAGCAATTGAGTGGGAGGCGGCGGATTTGGGAGCGGTGGGAGTGGAGACGGGAGCAGGGGGAGCTGTGCAGCATCGAAGATCGGGCGCGGGCGGAGCTGTGGAGGGTGGCTGATCAAAGAAAGATGGGGAGAGAAGGTGGTAGAGAATGATACATGGGGCCCATTTGTTAGGGATCGATCTCAACTCCTCTTGAACCAAACATAAAACATGGTGCAACCCTATCCCTCTAACCAAACAAAGAATGGGTCCAATCCTACCCAAAAAAGAGGGATAGAGCCAACCCATAGCACATGATTTCTAATCCAAACACACGCTAAATATCAAATTCTTGAGGACTGGGCTTTCTCAATTCTTGTCGAACCCTTAAAAATGACATGGCGCTTACTGGGAAAATTACATGGACAAGATGATTTGATGACGTAGCAAGTAATTTGAGAGCATATATAGCCAAGCTTGTCAAGACCCCGATGCATTTTCCTACAATCTTATCACTATGATCATATCAGGGAAACTATCACAGTGTTTGGATAGCGTCACGAGATGGTCCTGGAACCATCCAAACCTAAAACCGAGCCTGCGAATTCGTTTGTATTGCGGTGTGGAATGGTCCCATTCATCACGGACCAATCCTAAATGAACTATATCGTATTGCGATTCTAAATGATTCTTCTATTGTTTTCATACGATCCTACAAAGAATATATAGTATCATGGTACAATTGTACTATGATAGTACATAATAATTGATATAAATAAGTTTTTTTTAATTCAAATGTACTAAAATATTGTCTAAAGCTAGTTGCATGGAACATAATGTCTACAAGTGATCTTACATATACAAAACTCAATTATTTTTTTTAAATTAAAATGGTAGCATTTAATCTTTCCAATATAGTACAAATGTGATAGTATCCCGATACTACGACCTCATCCTATGATTCGGTACTGTCATGTTCGTGAACAATCATGGCCCCTAGCCTAGTTCAGTTAAGGTTAAAAAACACAGTTCAAATGTGGACGATGATGTCGTGCCTCTTAGATGATTATGTGGCCCCTAGTTTAGTAAAGCACATATTATTTGTGTTATTGGGCCAAAGGGAAAATATATAAGTAACAAATAGAAAAGAAATTGTAAATATAAATACGAAATAGGTAAAAAATTTAAACAATAAGTAACAAAAAAAGATGGTAAAATTTATAATGTAAATAAGAATTAGGGATTAAAAATATCAATATATCAAAAATCCAAAAATAATTTTTTTTGTAGTATGTGCTCCCTCTATCCATTTTAAAGTATTGATATGGTATTTGTACTGATCAAACTTTCTTGAGTTTAACTAGGTTTATAGAAAAATATTTGCAACATTTAAATCTCTAAATAAGTTTATTAAAAAAATAGATTTAACAATCTATCTTATGATATTAATTTAAAAAATTTATCGGATTCATATTCATATCATTAATGATATTGGAATGGAGGGAATACCTTTTTAATGGAAACTTAATAAGTTAATATATCCTGATTTCTACCCACTTCTTAGAGTTACTTGGTATTGGAGCAACATTTGTAGGCATCTGTGTCAGTACTGTGAGACCCAAAAAGAAAAAAAAACTAGTATATGTGGTTTGTAAACCTGTGTAATTCAAAATTTCGAGGGACCAAACCACACCCTTTTAACATTCTCAAAAACTTTCATCACGAAAATCTAAATGAGTTGGTAATTTTTTTCATTTTGTGGATATTCAACATGCCATTATCTACATACGTGCAGTTTTTTTTAAAAAACAATCCTTTTAACTATGATTTGTATAGTCTATACTATTTTTAAAATTGACTATTTCGATCTATGGAAATTCTGGGTCATGAAACTCGTCTCGAGGCTCCTAGCGGGGAACAAACCCACGAGGCCCTGGACCATCCAGAAACAGGGCAAGCCGGGGGAGAACAAGGAGGACTTCGCCGATCCTCCTCCCACCACCGCCGCCGCCGCGGCGTCATCTCAGCACCATGCCGCACACATTCCTCCCTCCAAAATCCGCTGCCTGCCCCGTGTCCACCTCGTCCACCCCAAACATAGCCGCTCCCCTCCCCTTCCCTCTGCCTCCACAACGCTGCCTCCTCTTCGGGTGGGGTGGAGGCGGCCGGATCCGTGGCCCGGTGTCCCGATCTGCCGGGGGATGGATAGATCCAAGCAGCCGTGGCAAGGAAGACCAAGGGCGCATCGGCGGCGACGGCATCCCCCGCAGACGGACATGGCAGCAACTGCAAGGCGGCCACCACCCACCCCTTCGGTCGCGGCAACGACAGCACCCATCCAATTCCCGACGGGGACTGCTTCCTCCGTGGCTGCATGTTGACAGAGGTAAAAATTTCCTCAGATATATTTTGGATGACTAAATGTTGCTTTTGCTTTCACGGCTGTAACTCTTCTATTTTTTCTTTGACAGTCAGTGAACTCCCACTTCCATTTTCAATTCTCACCATTCCTTTTCTACCTGCAGCCACATGTGCAATATTTATCTTTCCATCTATGCAGGCTAACAGAGGCTTTCAGTTCTTTATTATCAGACTAACAGAGTCTAACAATCATATGAAAATAACTGAATGTTGCTTTTGATTGACATGTGAGACAATTGTTTTGATGACTGAATGTTGCTATGTAGGCATGAAGCATGAATGCTGCTACTGTATAGATGCAATGTGGGATGCGGGGCGATTCAGCAACTCTGCTAGTTATATATGGAGTGTCTGTAAGGTTCTTAGAAAAGCTTATGCTGATGATGACTTATGAGGTGAGTCGACATTAGTATAAATGTTTTATTTCAGTTTGCTCCATGCTCCTGTATGAGTTCTGAGTGTCCTAAAAGCTAGAATGTGAAAAACTACTGATCTATGTTACAGAAAATTATGGAACTCATATCAGTTTCAAGGAAGGAACTCCTATCAATCTGAAAATAAAATAACTGAAAGATAACTCAGATGTTTGGAATGGTCTACTTGTCTATTCAGTTTAGTAACATTGCTAGTGTTCAGTCTGGCCATTGACCAAGTTCAATGGTCCTTTAATTTAGTTCTGTTGGTGCTTCTATTCTTATTTATTTTTTCAGCCATTGCCGTTGTCATGACCAGAGTTGCTTCTTTTTGTCAGAGGCATGTAATTGGTTATTTTCCATGTGGATTTGTGTTCCTCATTTCCCTGCTCCCCCTCAGCCTCCCATGGCTGTAGTGGCCGATCCAGAAAATTAGCAGTGGGTTAGCACTGATAAAAGTTAGTTTTGGACTACAATACTAAACCTTAAGTCCTTAAGCGAAGGCAATTTTGCCTAACAACCATCGACACATTTCTAATCAAATCAGGAGCCCAGTGCAATTGCTAATATAAATCAGTCACTACATTCTTTCAGACAAGGCTCAAATCTGGATGAATTTGTTTTGCTTGAGCACCACAACTTAAGCATGCTTGGCTGCACCTTACTGTGCATTGGTAATTTTAGCAGAACAATGAAGCAAGACATGAAATATTGTTAAAAGTCTTCTACCTCTAAATTTTGTTGTTTCCTATGACAGATAATCCACATAACTGAACAAATGCAGCTCACATGACACACATTTTATTTTCATTCACATACCTAATCTGTAAACTTTTTAGGTTGATTGTCATTTCCGATTTGGAAGGCGAATATGAAATAGAAAGGAAGTGCAAAGACCAACTGTTTGGATCGGCATCAACAAAAAAGAAGGCTAGTCCAACCTAGTATTGTTTGGATCATGTAACCCTTTCAAATGTTTTCAGCACACATTGCCTGAAATTTTCAGCACTCTACATTAGCCATGTGTATCAAATGTTTTCTGCACTCTACATTACCCATGTCTATCAACCGTTTTTAGGTTGTGAGCACCAATCCTTCTGATTCTGAAGGCGAAGCTGACAAAGAAAGGAAGGGCAAGGACCAAATCATCGGCATCAGCCAAGAAGAAGGTTAGTGCAACCTGCGGTTGTTTGGCTGCCTTGGCTAGTTCGGCTCTGAGGCATTTAACGTTACTAACTGAAATTTTGTTGGCTGGTGTAGAAAGTCACCAAGCCCCTAAGCAAAAAGGGTTTAACAACTTAGATCGCACATGGATGATATGCGAGAGGAGATTGAGAACTAGACCTGAAGCTTGAAGACATGGGGGAGGACATAGACATGACTATGAAAGAGTCCATGGTGGCCATTGCTGACAGGTTTGAGGACATGGAGAAATGATCAAGCCCCAGAATAACTAAATTCCCAGTAGGTTAACCAGGTCCTAGCTGGTTCTTATGCAGGTTATCATGTAGGCACTTTGGCAATATCTAAGTATGGACATCTATATTGTAAATGCAGTACATGTATCTATCTATTATGTACATTTATATCTATCTATGAGGACCTAGCTGGTACTTACATCTATGTGTATATTCAAGTTCGTGTTATCAGCTATATAGCCTGATTCTTACTGGATCAAGATATACTGATGACATTATATAAGAACTTGTTATTCTTATTGTGAACGATTAAAAAATAGTAGCAGAAAAAAATGTTGAAAATTGGAAATAAATGTAAATATCTTGTCACTGTTTGATAATAGTTAAGCACATCTATGGCATCTTCTTATATGAATCCTGCCTCCAAAAGCTGGCCAGCCAGCGTGCCACGTCGTCTGTTTTTCCTGGCCGTTCGATCGGGCGCGCGGACGGCCCAGATCGAACGAGCCACGGTCTTTTTAAAAAAAAAAACCCTCAAACTTTAGTTGAATCAATCCGCAGTCAGGCCTCTTTCCCTCTGCCACTCCCTCACGGACCCGATATCTCCCGTACTCTCTCGATTCATCGGCCTGTGGTGGTGGTCACCTTCACCTCGACGCGAGCGCGGCGGCGCAGCGCGAGCTCGGGCCACCTCACCGACCCCGCCGTAGCAAAACCGATGTCCGCCCTGGGCACTTCTTCTTCACAGGCAAGGCCGCGGGAACCCGGGCGTGGCCAACATGGTGGAAGCTGAGGCAACTGGTGGCGCCCGCAAAAGCGTCCGGGTCCTGCAGTCCCCCCAGTGCCCCAGCCCCACCTCGTGGTCCCCGATGCCCGCGCCGCAGGAAGGCCAAGAGCCTGCGGGGCGACCGCCCAGAGAGTAGATGAAGATGACGACATGTCTCCTCCCTTCTATTTCCGCTTCAGATGCAGTCAGGCAGCTCAGGTGCGCGTCAGCAGCTGGTGTGCCAACGGAAGGAAGAAGAGGAAATGTGGCGAATGCACGACGGACTGGAAGCGCCGCCCGTGCATCTCCACTATGCTCTCCACCAGCATGCTCTGGGGCTCCGCCACTTCGGTGCCAACTTGGGCTCCAATGCCGTCGGGAGCATCCCTCACCCTGCCTTCACAGGCCCTTTGGCAGGCACTGCTGCTGCGATGACAGGGGGGACGGGGGCGTCTGGTAATCTCGCTCTCCCTTTCTCCCTGCGTGCTTCACAGCTATTTCGTTACTCTCTTACTATGCACATCATGTGTTTGCTAAAATGCCTGTAGAAAAGATTATCCTGTACCACATTGTAATAATCAATTTTTCAAATGTTTTTGCTTACTACCTTCAACTTACCATGGCATCAACATCTATGGAAGATTGGATTTTGAGTGTTCCAAATCAATACGCATAAAGACCATTTGAACCAAAGAGTGTGCAAGTAACCTAAATTTCATCTCAATTGGAAAATAAGCAGGTCAAGTGCAAGCAGTTCTATGGAAGAAATAACAATAAAAATATTTCTTTGTCTCTGCTAGGTATAAACCGAGGCAATCTTTAAGCTGTCAGACCATGTGCAGTGAGCAATAATCTCCACCGAAAAAAATAGGAGTGGAAGTGTTGGTTCCAGCCTTCCAGGGTATTGCTAATGCAGTTTTGCCCTTTGTCCATCTTTTCAATGTACACATTTTTGTTCAGCTTATTAAATATACTCAACGACCTCTGCATATCTTACTGCAAACCAAAAAGTATATGATACAATTTTCAATTTTTGCTCCGATAAATCACTGTTCTGTAATCAAGCCACTATATGTTTTTTTCTACTACTATTTATGGCATTAATTTGAGATCATTACATTATTTCCGGTTAGGCTACTACCCAGAGAACATGAACTCTGAATTTGATTTAATCTAACATTTCTAAGTTTTGCCTTGCACCCTTGCCTGCTTGCAGTTTCTAACTAAAAAAAGCATCTGAATTTTAGCTATTGTAGAAACGGAAAAAATGCCAAAATAGCACTCAGGTGCAGCCACTGACAGCTAAGGTTGAGGCTTGTGACGTTTAGAGGTGAAAAAAATGATTTCTTGAATACATAGACTTTTTGATATGAAGATAATGGAGGTCACTAATCATATCCAAGCACATCTAACTTAAAAAATCAGTCACTGCAAGAGGTCATATTTTGACAATTTTGTTAATGAAGTTCTAAATATACACTATTACTTTTTTAAAATCTGAAATTGCAATGAAGATTTTAAATGATTTGTCAATCAACTAAGGGCATCATGCATCCAGGTGCTGGCAATCTATTAAATAGACAGTATTTGATGTTGTTCAGCTTTTGAGAGCATTGCCACACATGGACATCTGGACCTTACAATGCATTGATATCAGGATATGCAAACAGCTGCGTAATGTGCTCGACATTTGCCTTGGCCACTGTAGTGATACACAGTGCTGTAAATTAGAGCCCAGAAGTAGGTTATCAGCATTAGTATGTTATATTACTTATTAAATTAACTTGTATCCACACTAACAAATCTGTTACAACTTATATTTTGCATCGAACTTTATTAAATCAACTGAAGTCTTATGTAAAGTGAAAAGCTAAATCTTCTAGATGGAGGAGTTCCTGAATGGTTATCAGATTACGATATAGGGCATGTTTAGATCCCTTCCAGTTTGGAAAATGGACACTGTAGCACTTTCGTTTGTATTTGGCAAAAATTATCCAATTATGGACTATTTAGGCTTAAAAGATTCGTCTCGCCAATTACGGACAAACTGTGCAATTAGTTATTCTTTTTACCTACATTTAATGCTCCATGCATGTGCCGCAAGATTCGATGTGACGGGGAATCTTGGGAAATTTTGGATTTTGGGTGGGATCTAAACAGGGCCGTAGTATGATAATATGTCTTCATATGCTTATAGCTTTGTGACAATATGACCTTTGTGCATGCCTAAAATTATCTGAATGTGCTAATTTAGCCTGCAGAAGTCATGTTAAGAATTACAGCTTGAGCTAAGGCATTCCATCACATTTATCTTGGTACGGTTAGACACTGTGTTTTCCTTGGTCTCAGTTCATGGTTTCAAAGTTGTAGGTATTATCATTGGCCACTCATAAGCCAAAGAGACATAAAAGCTGGATACACTCAGATTTGTCGGAGGAAAAACAACATGCATGAAGGGGTCAAATGCATCTCTGCTCTGGCGATAGGGAGGCGTTCCCAAGTTAGTGTTCACAGATACTGATTACGTACAACGAAGATGACGTGGATTGAATGTGTAGTTGCAATGTACCTTCCCGTCTAATGAATAGCAAACACTTAATTGAGTTCTTAACAGCATTCTCATGTTTATCAGCAGAAATCAGAGGCTTGTCTTTGGCTGCTACAACAGTCATATCTATAAGTACATATGCTATTTTGTCTAATATTTCATTGAAGATTGTCATTGAAGAATGCCATAACAACTGACCTTTATTTATTTTCTACTAAATACTTGATGTAGTTCTTATTACTTATTGTCGACACTGCTTTTGTACCCTTATGATCTTATCCGCTATATAAGCTACATTTATCTCTCCTCCATGCTATCCATCTGTAATCATGTTATTATGCTTTGTAAATTTGTCATTGTAGGGTGACATTGCTGAACTACAGAATGAGAGCACAGCAGCCAAACAAAACGAGAGAAGATATCAAACACCTTAGACCTCCTTATTGAGCTCCAATACTCTATTGTTTAACTATAGCGCAATAAAATAACATCGGTGATCAAGATGGCGCGGCAAAGCCGCGCCCAGGTTTTCTAGTAAACTATTAAACCTGTGTCACACTGATTAGCAAGATGAGATCGACACAAATAGAGTAGCATTTCTCCAGTTTTAAATTAGAATTTATAAGGTAAATGCAACATGTGAAGACTGTGGATGTGGGCAAGCACTATGAATGCAAAACGGTGCCAATGGATGAGGCGTTGCTCTGTCCATAACAATATTGCGCAGCTCATGAACCACGCCTTAAATCAAACAAAAAATATTGTGCAGCTCATGAACCAAGATATAGTTGTTGTATGGGCCAAGAGCTGATCATGTCCCAATGCTGCTAAAGCCTGGTGCCACCAGGTGTTGCGCTAGGTTGGCCGGACCGCCACCTTCTGCGTGTGCTGTGATTTTTTTCTTGTTTTTTTTATTTACTAGCTTTTAACTTTAGGATGGTAGGCTAGTCTGGCCCCTTTGTTTTTGGCTCAGATGCATGATAAGTAATGCCTATGTACAAATTTTAATGGCAATATCACTCTTCTTGCAACGACATATACTCAATATAGCCACATGTAAAGTTGGTGGCAATAGAACCTCAACAGATGCAATGAATGCCTTTTTGGTTGCAATATAATAAGATCTTTTGCAACGTAGGGCAAGCTAAGGCAACAAAGTTTCATCGTGGCTATATTCGCAACTACTTGCAACTAATCATTTTTGGATGCAATATAGATCTGATCTATTGCAATGCAGGTCAAAATTAAGACAGCGCAATTACTTTATTACCATATGTTCAACTACTTGCAACCAACTTTACAATGGTGGCAACAACACCTAGCTATCGCAACGCAACATCAATGTTATCACAACTCAACACTAGCTGTGGTAATAGGCACCCATACCCGCAACCACCTTTTCCACCATGGCATTAGCGCCTACCTCTTACAACGGAGTTTATGACTAACGCAACACACAATTTTGGTGGCCATAAGGCCCATATATTGCTACCAATTATGACGTTTGTTGCCATAGAACCAAATATTGCAACCAAATGTGTGGTGTTGCGAAAACAAGTGGTACTATAAGGGTCAAATCCTTGTAGTGAAGATGGAGGACTTGTTGTTGATGGCAATGCTTGC